TGGACACCCACTCACTGGTAATGTGATGCTAGAGCAGAAATCATGTATTCTGAGTCTACTGACCCCTCTTAGTAGCAATGTGCTTCACCGTAGCCCTCAAGACACAATAACACGCTCATATAACTACAGAACTGACCACAAGCAGTTAGCACAAGCAACCAGGGACACAGATGCGCACATGAAAACATATCTGAAAATGTTCTTTCCAAGAGTGGGCAGTCCCTTGTCCTTAATTTCAATGTCAGCTACAGTAGTATCTGCAATATTGTCAAGGATCTTTGTAAGTCATGGACAAGATATTCTTAAACAGATCTATTAATGAAGGAAACCAATATTATAGAGATTTGCATTTCCGGGCACCAAACAGCTTCTAAAAATAAGCTGTAAATTCAGGATGTGAGTCTGTCCTTCTGTGTCTCTGTAGGTCTTATATAGGTCTATTCCTTTCAGCCATGACATAATACTTGATTTTTGCAAGGTATTTATTTTCGATCATTTGTGCTGTTGGCAAATGTAGCGCTAAGCTGTGTCGTTGAAAGCTCGAGAGGAGGAACTTGAGTAACACTCAAGTATTAGCGCGCGCTGTATCGACGTAGTTAGGTACATAGGCTGCGCATTTGACACAAACTAATTTTATTAAAACAGAAAATATGACAACCCGTCTCAAGTAACAATGAAGTAAATTAAAGATGAAAAATTTACTTCATTTACCTAATTATTCAATTTTTAATGCCCAATTTTTCAGTGCACACAACAAATCTCCAGGGTCATCTGGCGTACCACCTGGGGGGCACTCCGCGTACCACAGTTTGAGGACCACAGGCCTAGGCCTAAGCCTAAGTCTAACTCACAGGAGTAAATGAGGGCCGGGAAGATGGGTTCATTCCTCTCCTGCGCTGTCTCCACCAGCATTCTCAGGGGACCCTTTGGACACAGCACTGCGATCAGGTCTGCGGATGGGCAGGGAGAAAGGGCAGAGTGAGCACAGAGTTAGCTTTTTCCACAGCTCCTCCTCAGAAGCACATCGGCACACTAAATCGCAAACCTTCCACTCTCCTCAGCCCTCTTAAGTACGGGCCTGGGTACACCCCTGTCACATTTTAAGAATTTTTTTCCAAAGCACCCCTTATGTATTTCAATTTTACGGGAATTCTTCAGTAACGCTACAAAGAACTGAGGTGAGCTTTTAGAGGTTCACTAAACATTTCTGTAGAAAGAATAAAATCTTCATGTTTCAATACCATGTCAGCGTATTCTAGACACAACCTACTGAAATAGAGGCTACCTTCACCATGAAACCTATTCAAAGGATTTAGTGTTCAAGTCCCTAAAGAAAAATTCAAAATAAACTTTAGTACACCCCTCTCAACATAATACACATTCTACAATAGATTTTGGTTTCTGTGAACTCTTTATTCTTATGTACAGCCTGACCTCCTTAGTTTGGCACACAGGAAACATTTTTATGTGTAACCTTTTAGTGCACCTCAGCATTCATAATTATTTTAATTTAGCTCTAAAGACTTTTTGGTTACATCAACATAATTTTGCTGTTCCCAGAGCTATTCCTGTTCCCTATGTGTTTCTCCAAACCATGTAGTGTGGCAAGTTATCTTATATAAACACGACAAAAACCTTGCCAAAACAAACAAAATCAAAGCAGATTATTAACATTTTCAGTTTTTTACACCATCTCCACTGCCACAGACCTCTTAAAAAAACACGAATAACCATTTCTGAAAATGTATCAAGTTTGAATCACTGAACACTGATTAGGAAAAAGGCAGGGATGTTTTCATAGCCTGAACATAACCCCAAACACTCAATGAAGGGAAATGGGGAAAATAGAAAAAAAAAACCTAATTGCAGACAAAACCTCTTCATTCAACATCAAAGTGAGCCACTGCTAACAGTATGAAGAGCATATTTACCTACCCATCTACACCAAAGAGCTGAAATGTGAATGTTAAGAAAGTTTTTACTAATGGCTATGAACATAAATCCTGTCAATGTGACAAGATTGGGATTAACTGATTAGGGCTCTCAGAGAGATTCACTGCCGATCCAATTGGTGATGCCTTGCCTGTCAGGCACTGTGGAGACTGCAGTTTCACATGAGTAATGGCCCTGCTCTTAGGCGTGTCATAAGGCAATATGGGAGTTGTGGCTGCTGATTTGTGGCACTTGGTACTAGCGATTCCAAACTGTGTAACAGAAAAACAAATGGCAATTCCAAAATTAACACAAAAGGTCAAAATTGGTTTACTGTGGTCAAAATTGGTTCAACTGGGCTATGACATTACTGTGCAGGGACCATCATGAATGGCAAGCTGAGCTCCAAGTGCAGGTGCTCACAGGGACTCGGAGGAGTTCGGGGGAGGTGAGGCGGACTTGCCGTGGAGGAGAAAAATATGCAGCTCAAAGGGAAAGTGGTGAGACAAAAGCTCCCTGCCTAGTTAGTGCCCTACAGTGACTGAATAAAGAAAAGTAGTACTTCAGTTCAAGGAAGAGAAACCGAGTGTTAGCTCAATGTTGGAGCGCTGATCCAACCGGAGCTTGAGCTCAATTGGCTGATGTGGGTGGACCATGTTGATCAATTAAAGGGGCTGGGAGACGCATGTGAGTGAGTCTGCATGGGGTTAGACTCGAGCCAAGTCCCTGTGTGAACACCGGTACAAGAGCCGCTAAACAGCCCAGGCGTAACAATTCCTAAACCTTTGACCGCTGTGTGAAACTCAGGCTGAGTTGAGCTCAGCCCCGGCCTCTCACCGTAGACGGAGATGACGGCCAGGATGAGCCACGCCGTCCACTCGGGGAGGTACTTGATGAAGACCAGGGCCATGAGGGCGCTGATCATGATGAGGTAGGCCTGCTGGAGCCGCAGGGGGCCCTTCCAGTGGATACAGATCATCCCCACCACCCCGAAATTCCAGATGATCACCGCCAGCGTGATGTAGTCCATGCCCACGTTGTAGGTTTTGAACACCTCGCTGCCGACGACACACAGAGCAGTCAGTGCAAGGCAGTCAATGCTTATGGCAAACTAACCAATGGAGGTTAGGACAGGACTTGACTAAGGAGACCTGCTTTTTAACCGATTTGTTTCCTACAAATAATTGTTCTACACAGCGTCAACAAACAAGTTGAACATGTAGAACAAGCTTATGAAATTCTGGATTTTATTACCACTCTACTACCTTATCTGCTACAAACACAAGAAGGTTATTGGCCAGAACATTAAACATTTACATGCTTTGGAAACCCCAAATTATGTAGCCTAAGGCAGCCACATTCGTTATAGAGGGAATGCCAGTACCAGCTTAAACCTTTTTAAAACATTTTTAAAGACAATAATTGAGGTTTCCAACCATTCTGATCAGTAAAATGCCTACTCATAATAATTGTGCTTTTGGTTCCCTTTCAGAAAAAAACCTGATTTACTGCACAATGCTAAAATTATTTAGTGGTGTTGTATAAAACTGAAAAGGAGAGGTGTTCTCAAACACAGAGGATAGCCATGTGTCAGAACAGCTTAGTTTGATCATTTCCAACTGTAGAATCTACAGAGGATAACATGGACAGACGCATGTTTTAAATGTAATTCAGGAATCAGAACGGTTAAATTTAGGGGAGAAAATGTCACCGAACCCGGCGTCCACAGTCTCATGACAGGAACACCCATTCTCATCTGCGGTCCTGCAGTAGCAGAAAAGGCACATTGTAGTTTACTGCAAGGAGGCAGAACCAGCTTACCCAAGGTAGATGAAAGAGAAGAAGAAAAGCAGCAACAGGGAAGAGATGATGAGCCAGCCGTGGATCACCTGCACAGAGAGCACAACAGGCTGTGAGCAGACCGCACTGCACACAGGAGACACTCAGGCACAGCCCTGTCTCCGCCTGCCAGACCACGACGAGCACGTGCGGAAACACACCACAAACAGAAAAAAGGTCATCGTTTGTGCTAAAGGTGAGTCTGTTTAATAAATGTGAATGTGTTCATAGACAGAATATGCACAGTTTCTAACAATTTCGAACTTTGCCTTTTCATCATTAATAACGATCTTTATTGAAGACCAGCAGTAGAAACCCTCCTGTCCTCTGGGTTGAGAAACAGCCCTAATACCGGTCATTTTCTTTTTGATCCCTACACCCACGACACATCTTTCAGCTGCTGTTAAAATTTAATTCTAACATCCAGTCAATGATGCACAGAAATCATGTTGCGTTGAAAAGGTACAGCAATCCATTTTACTTCACAATATTTTTAAAGGAATTGTTCTCAGATTAGAGCTCATTTTAAAGTTCAAGACGACTTTGCAAAACAACATTCCTCCAAAATGCGGGAGACTTACAATTTTGTTTTTAATTGAAACTGAAAGGCATGAAAAGACATGTTTTTGCTTTCGCTGCTCAATCCATTCTCAGTTTATACTGCTGAACCATGACCAAAAAAATTCCTTTAATGGCAGTGTTAACAACCAGTATTCCTGAGGCTTTAAATGTTTTTTAGCCGAAAACATTTCCTTTGGGTTTATCACCGCTTTGTGTGGGCTCCGCGAAATTGTCTAGTTTCTCTCAAGTGTTGTTCCTCTGACTGTGCCCTGCATTTTGAATGCCACTTGCACAGTGGGCTGGCCAGAAACACAGTAGTACATTCACAGTTTTTTTTTTTGTTTCTTTGTTCATTGGAAGGAGTTGGGAAAGGATTGTTTTTTTTAATCCCAAACACTGGGAACAGAAAACACAACAATTCAGTGTCTTTTAAGTGTCTGTGTATCCTATAGCCTGGAGGTTACCTCTTCCTTTCCTGGCTGTAACAACAGCTGACTGTGTTCAGGAGCTCACAGGGTGTGGAGATCAGGCAGCTGAAATCCTTGTTTTACAGCCTCCAGTAGGGCACCTACAAGTTTGGGTGTGATCATTAAGGGCTCTGTTTAGCATCCAGAATGCCGTTTGTGTCCCAGGTAGCAGAGAAAAAAGGAATAGACGGTGTTTCGATGCATATATTTTGAAGACAAATGTGTTGGTAAAATTCACCTTTCTCAGCTTGTTTGGCGGTTGTCTAATATACTCCATATGAGTGGAATTGCAATTTTTAAATCTTCCTTTGAAAATAAAGTCAGAGAGGACATTTAACCAAAATAACGACCCACAGATGACTATTAAGACAAAGTGTTACCATCCCTGTGATGATAGAAGCTACCTACAAAGAAAGGCACAGGAACAGCTAAACCCTGTATAGACCTGCAAAACTGAAAAGGTCCCTTTTCTCAAAGGAAGATTTTAAAAACAATTAGATTTCTTGGTTAGTCTTACTCACTGAAAGATGTTCATTATCTTTTTTTTTAGTTGATCTGCAATGCCGACACTTGTCAAGAGATTTCTCAGAACATTCAGATAATAGAGAGGAACAGGCCACTCCACCTAAATTATTGGTTCACCACCGTATTGGGTACACATCCCCTGTGTAGCAAAGTCCTTGCTGGCAAGCTTCAGAAAGCAGGAGTCTCCCTCACCTTGTAGCAGCGGTACTTGTAGAGCACAACCAGCAGCAGGGTCATGACGACGATGACGCTGATCATGATGGCTGCATTTAGGATGGAGTTCAGAGCTCGCTGCCCCACTGTCTCCGTCTCCTCGGGGAAAGGGGTGTAGATTCTGGAAGGGTACAGACAGCACAGAGTTAATTTAGCTGCCTGATGAAAATAAAATGCAATGTCCATACGGTTTTCAGACAAAAATAAACTTATTGAACCTACAGACCTACTGATGAATTTGATTTCTTAATCAATTTTTTCATTTGACTAAAGCAGAAACCCATTTATTACCACATGCAAGAATAAAATAAGAGTAGATGATCTATAAAAGTCACCACATATTAATATGTCAAGGTTCAAGGTTTGTGATCATACAAATACTTCAAGTAGCAGAGATCAGATACAAAGTAAAGAGTACAGCTTTTAACATTCAACAGACCTCAAACCAGTTTTCATAAGTACACACTGAGTGCCGAAAAAGAATTATATGCTTTTGGTAATATATTTTGCAGAAAAATAGATGTTTTTATTTTAAAAGAAGGTTTTATTTTATGGTAAAATTAAAGACCATTCTTTACATGCAAGGTTTCACATTTCACTTTCTTGTAGTGTTTTGGTACAGTACTGTGAATGATTTATAATTTCAGATGCATCTATCTTGAGGACTATAATATACTCCATATTAGTGCACTGTTGTTGAACCCTCAGTAGTGCTGTTAACATCACTTCTGTGTGAGCCTGTCTCACTTGGACAACACAAGCAAAAGTGAAGCTTCACGGGCTCACAAATCTGATAAATGCAGGTCTAAACGCACACTTACCCGTTTCTTTCCAAATACTCCAGACTTGAGTCTCACTTTCAAGAAAACTGCTTGAAAGACTAAGCTTGGCCATGTGTATCATTGTGTGCAGGGCTAAATGCAACATGGCAGCGAAGCTCCCAAAAGTGGCTCTAACTATAATGGTGCTCATCAGAGTGACGCTTGAGCTTGATTATTCAGATATTACTGGTTTGCATGTGGACTACATCATAATCCAGATTTGACAGAGACTGCCTGAGTAGCAGGAAACTTTTGTCTGTGTCTTAGTGCTGCCAGGGTCAAAGGTGGTTAGCTAGTTATGATTTTTTCAACTGTGCCATCATGCCAAATCTCTGAAAGGTTATGGTATTTTACCATTTAGGCCTTTCTTGGGTGACATCACATCTTTTCTTCATTCCTGTTTATGTTGTTACTGTGTTTTTGTCAGACTAGTTGCACTGTAAACAGCAAGACTTCCCATCGCGCAGTGCAGAAACAGATGGAAATTATATTGCAGTTTTCTCACTGCACAAACAAGAAGATGCATAAATGTTGAGGAATTGTGAATTTTACACGTTTCATTTTGTACAGTTAATTAAAAATATGAGACTAACTGCAGGACCTAATCTTAAGGTGCTTTGATGACATAAGATCAACACAAAGCCCAAACCAAAATATGGAGTTTGCACGATAATAGAATGAATTTTGAAATGAATTTAAACCTTCAATTACGTTACAAGCTGTTGTCTCCACCTAGTGGATCTCTGTTGGAACTACACCTTTTGTACGCGCAACAAGAGTACATTCGTATGAGTGTAACAGCATAAGTAACATAAATCTATTGCCTATCCCCACAAACCTTCACCCTCATCTGTATTCTGCGCCTGACCCAACGTTCCGGACAGCTCCCAAACAAAAGGAGACACAGACATCTGTATAAACCAAAGGGCAGCATCACACGTAGAGCGGTACCTCTGCACTACAGTGCCAAAGACCGGCTATTAGACTCCAGTAATGCATTTCAGTAATAGCATTGTGCCTAAGGGAGAGCATGAAAACACCATGAGACAAGTACACTGAATTTATTCACAGACAGAATGGAATGGGCACTGCAGCAACACTAGTCCAAAGAGTATACCAGCCTGCTGGACCTTAAGTGTTTCCGTTCCTTGCTGTTTAGCAAGAGCATGCCAGCTTGAGCAATAGGTGGATTTTGCACACAAAAAAAGTCATACTTCCTTCCTGCCCTGTCGAAAGTTTTTAAAAATACAACCAAAATAGGCTGCGTGACAAAAAAATCACAGCAGTTGCCATTAGGGGAAGTAAAATTATTATTTTGCCTGAAATCAACCAAACCTCCGCCCATCTTACCAATTCATGTGAGACAGCAGAGCTACCTTCTGCACCATCCTCAACCAAACATGATCATGGCAAATGTGAGACATACACAAAGAGAAGGGATTTACAGCATTGTTGCTGATATACTTATTTTAAATATACAAGAAGTTTTGCATGTCCAGAGTTTTCATAAAAAAGGACATTTACAAGAAAAAAAGTTAAATGCATCCTGACTGCTCATCCCATGAGTCTGCAATATAATTGTTCTGAGTAGTAAATGACAATTAGGAGCCATTTGAAAAGGACTGGTATTGTCAGATACAGTAATCAGATGGAGTAGTGCCTGTTTTAAACACAGAGGAAAACAAATGTGTATATTGCTATGAATTAATACAGTGCTAGAAAAAGCAAGTGTGTCATTCTTGGCTGGAAGGTTGCCAGTTCAAATCCTGCGGCTGGCAGAGGAATACTACTCCGTTGGGCCCTTAACCCCAGCTGCTCCACGAGCGCCGTATAAATGACTGACCCTGTGCTCTGACCCCAAGCTTCTCTCTCTCCATCTGTGTGCCTGTGTGCCTCATGGAGAGCAAGCTGGGGTATCCGAAAAGACAAATTCCTAATGCAAGAAATTGTATATGGCTAATAAAGTGATCTTATCTTATCTTTAGTCTGAATTACTTAAGATTTCCAGACATTTTTCATCACCCATCAAAGAGATAAGTCTAACCACACTGCATTAGGTGTAGAGAGCCCTAAAAGTGACAAGAGCTCAACATTCCTGTAAGTGTTGTATTGATTACACAGCAGCCATGCCAGCACCACAGGGGAAACTGATTCAAAATAGTTTCTAATCTGGTTCCCCGTGATGAGCGTAAAACAGATCGCTGTCTTCTGATTTTGTACACTGGAAAATCAGAGAAATCTCCCTGTCCTGGGGTGTCTACATGTGACTTCAGAATGACTGTTTAACTCCTTAAGCAGCTCCTGCTAAATCAGCCAGACCCCAGCCTGCACCCACACGTCAGTATAAAAGTTCTCTAAGGCGGTCAGACCCCCCTACTCACAGCTGGCCGTCCTTCTGCGTGTAGAAGCTGACAGACTTGATGGTTGCTACCACCACCACCATGCAGAGGGTGACGGGCACGAACAGCATGATGACGTGCTTGGCCCCGTACTTCAGGGTCAGCTCCTCGTCTTCATCTTCCTCGCTCTCCACGGGCTGGGAGGGCCGCGAGGAGGGGGGCTGCCCGTTGAGCTCGGCTTCGCCCCCCTCGGTCCTCCAGCGCGGCTCTCCGCCCTCGCTCTGCTGGAAGAGAGCAGAGTCAGGGGGCATGAGGATCCACAGGGCTTCGTCCTGTCACACACACTGCCAGCTGAGCCAACAGGCAGCGCTCTCCTGTGGGACACCGGTGGCCCCCGAACCCCAATCCCGCTTCACACATGGATAAAAATATAAATACATGTTTAAATATTTAAATAATGTGACACACAAAACTCTTATTTTAATTCAAGATGGTACGCACTCAAGATCTACAGTTAGTGGGAGAGCAGGAGCTTTATTCAGAACTAGGGGCGCGTCCCGGCCTAACTACGTCATGGGCTATCAGCTGCCAGCTAAAAGTGATTGCGCCATAACTAAACTAGCTTGGGAAAAAAGTTAGCCGTCGGAAAAATGGTGGGCACAAGCAGGCAGAGATAGGGACAAATTTAGAAACTACTGCAGTGGGTGCGAAAAAGGAAGCAGAAGAGGGAGGATGCAAATGTGGCCCTTGAAGGGTCTTCGGAAAGGTTCGTTGTAAAAACCAGGAGCGAAGAAGAAACAGACACGGGTGGTGAGATCTCGACGCCGACAAGGATGCTGGCGTTGAGACACCTGAAGGCACGGATAGCATCAGCAACGACGGCGATTAGTAGTTACGCTCGGTTCTGTATGTCTGTTTGTGCAGGCCAATTAGGGATATTTCATCACCTCAACGCTGCTCCCTGCCACCACCACTACAACACAAGAACCCCCCCACCCTGGGCCCCGCGACACCCATCCTTCCCCGGGCCCCAACCACCCCTTGAGACAGCCCTGCCTGTGGCACCCGGCACTGGCTCCATGTGCCTTTACAATACAGCTAATAAGACCAACAAAGTTCCTTGCATGCTCACATAATTCTATGGAATCGTACCATTTTTGTATTTTTTGGGTGAATTCTTACAAAGATTCAGACTCACAGGGTTAACAAAAATTGCTCACATTTAATTACCGATTATTGTATAGCGAGCTGCTGAATATGGCCAACAGTGCCCCCCCCCCAACATAAATAAATAAACGAACTGATATATATTCACATACACACACTTTTAAATTCTGTAAAACAAACTGATTGCCACTTCGCTAGCAGTTATCTTAATATCTTGAATGCTAATCTCAATATTTTGAATCCTAATATATAACATGAGGACTCTGGTTCAGCAACATCAGATGCAGGAAACATTTTAACAAGGTTCTTAACACATGAACTCAAACGTTTGTGAGTTTTCGTTCAAGGAACTTTGATCAACTCAGATCAGCCTCTATATTGCTGGAGCAAAGTGCCGATTCTGCACAGAGCAAGACTCGCCAGAAAGAGTGGTGACAGAATGCGGTCAATCCAGACTGCAGACTACTGTGTCCTTGTAACAGCCTTGCTCATACGAGCACTTTAATCACGTGGCTACAGGTGCAAAAATCAAAGTCAGGGTGGATCATAACAATTCAAGTTAAACGTCTCTTCTCAAGGTAAATGGACCTTACTAGCATCTTCTGAAGGAAATGAGATATAAACGGCCCTAATTAAGTCATGAAGATGGAAGGGATTACCTTGACAGGTGTGCCCAGGACAAGAGTTAATTGTTATTTTGACCCATAAAACATTGCAACCATATGCTCTTAACACACACCCTATCCTGGAGGAGTGTCTCTTTTATTAAGGATGTGGTGTGGCAGGATAATAGGAAAATATTATCTTAGGAGCTTCAGAACAGTTATGTTAACTACAAAGATCTTATCATTGGCTATGCATACTTTATGACTACAGAAGTTTACTTTGATTATTTAAATAACTTTAATCAGGGCACAGCAGCAGCTGTAAAACTATTTCAGTCTTAGATAAAAGGGGTATTTTTCCCAATAAATTAAATCAAACAGAAACTAAGCTGGGGCAAACAAATCACAAGACCCCCTAGGCTCACCAGTAATACAGAATGGATATGACTGAGGTCTTCATAGCATTAAATTAAATAAAGGAAGTTCTAAATAAGACATGACCATAAAATTTGCAGAATGTATTTCATATCAATCCCTGTTTTAATTCTAAAGGTTTTATGTTCTTAGCCGTGGAATAACCTTGAATAAGGTCTCCTGAAACCTTCAAGTGGAATTTTTAGACTCACTACAGCAAGAACTATAACTGTGTCACAGAAGGCATTCTTTCACATTAGGTCTTTGTTATATAACTATCCCTGTCCTTTGTATTATTTACTAATTATAATTAAGATATTACCTAGTCCTGTGCCTGATTGGCAATGATGATCTGCCTGGGTGAAGTCTGTTTTAAATACTGTAGCCTCCACACCCTTTTGCAAAAATATGGCAATAGCAATTAGAAAATCACACCCTCTACAAACCACTGTGCCTAAAATAAGACTTAATTAAAACGTAATTAAAAATCTTAAGACCTCAATGATAATTTATATTACTTGTAAATATAAGGTTCACACCATGCTCTTCATTAAATGTAATTATCTTATTTTATTCATGTGATGACTCACAGTGGGCTACAATTAACAAATAATCCAGTGATTTTGTTTAAAAAATACCCAATTCATTTTGAGTTGTGAATATTTCTTTCCTCCATCACATATTCACAAATTAAAATATTTGATGCAGCTCTGTTCTTGTCATGGCTTTTCAGAAGGAGTGAACAGTACCTACTAGGACAGTATCTGGCTGGAGCAAAGACAATGTCTAAGAACAGTCTTAAATGCAGGGATATACTATAGACCTCTGTGACCTAACGCACTACAGTCCTCACCTCTATTCAGAACACAGTGCCACCTCCCAGCCCCTCTCCAGCTACACCGCAGTCTTCCAGCTGTGAGAAAACTCTCACATTTTCCCCCCTCAGCCCAAACTACACTGCATTCTCCCTAAGGCCACACTGATTCCAAGACAAAGTCAAATCAACAACCCATGCTCTTCCCGGCTCTGCTTTATGTCCTACTACTGTAATAATTTTTATCATCACAAATTTATAGCAGGCCTATGGCAGCTGCTTTTATCCAGGGCAGTTACATAATCCGATTTGCACCATGGAATACGAATTTCATACGAAACCATAACCAAGTTGTAACTTGTGTGCGTGAGCAATTCAGACAAAGCCTTCACTGGTCTTCTCTACCAATACATCCAACATTGTTATTATCACAGCTAAGTTGGGGTGAGAAGAAACCCAGCCTGTCATTTAGAACTACGAGAATATGAGAAAATTCAGAAACCTGATCACAACAGCTCCTGGTCAACTATACAATAGCAGCCGATATGAAGTGTTGCATGAGCTGATCCATCACATCAACTAATCTAATCAATTTAACATTCATTGACACCTTTAACTCTTTAACACTTGTTCATCTCTTCACACCCCTAAAGTTAAAAGGCTACTTTCTGTTCTTATAAATTTAGATCTATCTGGACTGATAACTTACAAGCAAAATGACTAAAATGGCAGTACAATATCACAGCAGAATTGTGTTTCTGTACAGAGGAGGAATGAGTGAAAAGAGTTATCACCATCAAATACAGACACACTTAAATTACAGTGTGATTATTAATCCTCAACAAAATATCAAGCTTCAGTGTGCAGCAATTCTAAAAAGCAAGTTTCTATATTTGGTACGTTTCTTCAATATGTTAATTATTTATGTTCTATAATCACCTGGACTGCATCATGTCTGGCCACCTTTCTGTGTCTCCTCGAGACCCACCTGTTCACAGCTCATTTCTGTATTTCTCATCTGTTTTAACTCAGCCAAGCCATGCAGTGTATATTTTAAATTCTAAACTTTCTGTATGCCGTATATAAAACTGACATAATGCAATTTTCCCTATTCAATAATTGTTTTGATAGATACCTTTGATAAACATGTCAGCTAAAATAACTATTTTTATTTACAGAGAATAAGATGGATATTGAAGGATCTACTATATAACCCGAGGGAAATTTCTACATTCGTGTGCTTAAAGCTATGATCCCTACCACGTTGTTCCGATGGCCATCCGTGAAGTCCTCTGAAAGCTGCTCATGCAGCACGCTCGCCAGATTTTCAGCCATCTGGAAAATCCTTTGCTTCCTCCCCACTCATACAAATCTCCGATCCCGGCACCTGACGGGAGAAAAACAGTTATTTCCCGAGGGTTTTGAGGCAGGAAAGGTACAAGGGAGCAGGAATATCCCTAATTTGCAAGCGCTTTCGTGTCTCATAGTTTGTATACATCGCAGACAAACCGTGCAAGGCACAAAGCAAGGTGTGCGGACAAAAAATATATGTGCGTACCTGCATTTCCATGGACGTGAAAGGAACAGACAAAGAGACAACAGGCGTCAAGTGCCTCAATGCGTCTCGAAAGGTGAAATATTTGTGAGGCCTGGGTGATAAGTCTCATTTTAACATGCGTCTTGCTAACTGTTGTCCAGTAAGGTTTAGAAAATAAATATAATCAGGAATAAAACATAATTAATACTTGAGGAAGTCCAAATCCGAGCAGCAAAGTGACTGTCCTATAGCATAAGAAAAGTAATTATTAATCGCATCGCTCACGACGGGGTAAATGATGAAGAGTCGGGATGGGACGAGGCAGAACATTTAAATTATCAGGCAAAACCTCAAGACATATAGGATCTATAGCACAGCACCAATGATGCTTCATAGATTTGCCCGATATGAAGATCTGGATTAGGGGGGAAAAAAAAACTTGGTTCCTGGAAAACTCGTCTTCAAAAGGGAGGTAATCATTTCATAAATATGAAAATACTACGTGCTATTTAGCTAGATGAATTATGCTTATGGTAATATAAATCCAAACTTTATAAGCCGAACAAATGGTTTGTTTCGTTACATTACCGTCTTTCGGAAAAGACTCAAAGAAAATCAAATGCTAGCAAGACTATTGGGAGTTACTCCGTCGGTATTCCTCGTCAATTCACACAATAATAATGAAACTAGGGAATTTTATGTCTCTTTGAGAGAATATTTCTTTTCTAACCTTTGATTAGTCGAACGTAGTAAGATTAATACCTTAAAGACTTTTTCTCTTCGGGATTCTTGAACTTTGGATGCGAATCACTTTATTTTCCCCTCTTGTGCTGCGGTTCTCCTGTTTTCTTTCTCACACACCTAACACTATTCAGGGAAGTCAAAAACCATCCGGCTGCGACATTTCCGGTTTAGGTTGGAGAGGAAGTGTGTCATTGTGTAGTCTTTTAACCATATTTTTGTGTTCAGTATGTAGCTTCAGTATGCAGAGGTGTACAGCAGTATGTTATTCGTTATTGGTTATTATGCTGCAGAACAACAAACAACTTACGTTAAATCCTCTTTGCAGTCCGATAATTAATTACTATAATACGAGTAGAACGAGAAAGACTTGTATTTTGAACACGACAGTTAGTTCAGAAGCGTATTCAAACCAAAGAGAGAAATATGAAGTCGAAAGAAGAGAGAAATAAAGTACTCAAAATCGTGGCTGTATTTAACACAAGTTACATATCTACATGCAGGGATGTTTGAATCCTTGCGCCACTGTGAATCTATCCTTCAAGGTAATAAAGACCGCAACGTGAAGATATTTCCTTAAAGTACAGACCTCTCACAACCTCTTCAGCTATCAATATTCTTGATTTATCATTTTGGAAAAAGTGACAATGCCATTTTGAGGATTGGGAGAATACGAATAGGTTTATGGATGCCACAGCAGTTGGGTCTATATGACTATGAAATAACATGAATTTATCATTGACTAATTACTCCATTATAAGATAAGATAAGATTACCTTATTGGCCATATACAATTTCTTATATTAGGAATTTGTCATTTTCACATACCCCAACTTGCTCTCCATGAGACACAAACAGGGAGAGAAGCTTGGGGTCAGAGCACAGGGTCAGCCATTTATACGGCGCCCCTGGAGCAGTTGGGGTTAAGGGCCTTTGCTCAGGGGCCCAACAAAGTAGGATTACTCTGTCGGCCGCGGGATACAAACCGGCAACCTTCCAGCCACGGGTGAAGATCCTTAGCCACTAAGCCACCACACATTATAATAGCTATTATAAGTAAAAGCATTTCTGACTCTCTTGGGACCCTGGCACGTAAATGCGATCAACACCTCCCAGAATAAAAAGCTAAAGGCTACCATATGCCTAACGTATAGCCTTACAACATGATTTCAGTAATTTGAAAGGGCTACAGGTTAAAAAGGGATACATGGAAACTCAACATACTGTACAGTACATCTAAAAATATTTTGACTACTTTCATAAAGTTCCCCTTCACATAATGGAAATACTTATTTTCATATGGTTCACATGTAAAAGCAAACCTTCACCTACTTGGCTGCTACAAATTGCAAACCAAGTTCTGAGTTGCAAGTTTTGTTATTAGAGGACTTGCTGGTTGTGCTTGAAGTTTGTCATCGGTGAGACAAAAATTGGTTTAATTCAGACTTGCACTTTGGGCAAATAACCAAAAATTCTACTCAATTACAATTAAAGCTTCCAGGATACAGTTCGTAATACTAGCAATGCTCACCCCTGATCCTAAAGAATCACACCTGAAATGCCACCTTTAAAACTTTAGTGTCTAAAGGTGTGAGGCAAATAATATGAACCACTTGATAATAAATCAAGTGGTATCATTCATAGTGTTACTTGGAAAGTGCCCCTTTATACTGATGGGTTTTTTTCTGCAGAAATGGGAGTGAAGCATCTTGCTCAAGGATACAAACAGCATTGTCTCATCCAGGGTTTGCAAAAATCTACTTCCAGTTTAACAACGCTATTTCAGATCTATTCTGGGTAAATTGTGACTGAAACATCTGTACGGAAGACAACAGAACAAACGGGGCAGAGCACAAAGCCATTGGGGCAGAGATTTTGTTTCTTTAGAACTGGTTGTAATATTTTACAATCTTTTACTTCTTAAAACAGACCTGTTTCATCTCATCTTTGCACCACATTGACTTGTTTCCTGTGAAATATAATCAAATCCATTAAACTAATATCTAGTTTACGAGAAAGTTACTCTAATATTCCTCTATTTGGTGTTTTCATAATGAGACTAGGGCTTTTGATTAATAGACTGGTCGGGCACAGCATTACAACGGAAATCAGCGTGTGGTATGGGATTTAAAACAGTACAGGAAATGACTTTTGCATCAGTATTTATTTTGGTTGTTTTGCTTTTTTTGCAGTTAAAGCGTTTAATTTAAAATTCAGAATTTCTCAAATATGAAACAATTCGTAAACCCCAACTCAAACTGAATCCTTTTACGATCTCAAACAAATACAGTTCCAATCTCTATTATTATAACCCCTACCCACAATACATTGCTAGTTCCCTGGTTGTACTTCCGGTGGTGAAAGGTCCTGGCTTCTGCAGAAAGGAGGTAGAATCGCCGAGAAGCTCAATTCAGACGAAATCGTGTGTGCTAAGGTGTTTGGAAAAAATATGGTAAGGTGATTTATGGTGGGATGTTTAACATAAATCTAAAGTTTCAAGATACTATTCAGTGAACGATTAAAGCTTTTCAATTTTTGTAATTTGTGATGTTCACGTTTTTTAAGGCCTACGCTGAAGGCTTTGTGCGGGATTATCTGATGGTAAAATCTGTAGCGCCTTGTGTTTGCAGCGTTAGCTTCCAGTTAACGCGTACTTTTTGTCCCAACACAATCAAAAGAGATTTACATAGGGTCGCTGTAAAAGCTATGCTGTAATCACTAAAATTCTAACATTTTAAAAGCAGACAGTGATGTGTGTTTATCACTGTGGTTGAAATGGCCATTTATCGACCAGTAGTGGCTGTTTTAAACGGCCCAAGAGCAGAGGTCGTGGCTCTTAAACAAATATCTAAGATGGCCCTACTGGTGTCATTATTGTTTTTTTCCTAGAAATAGAGTATTGAGAGAGTTTCTTGGCTTTTGGGTGAATTTCGAAGAAATCATGTTGGTACTTTGTAAAAACTGTAATATTCTGTAGCTCGATGTCTTGCCAGCTTGCCCCATCGTTTATTTCTCACTTTATATGGGTCTCCAAAGCTCTGTTTTTATACGCCTAGTTTAGAAAACAGAGATGTAAATTCTGATACAATTTAAAAATTTTCTGGGTTTTGTGGTCGAAAGATTACACTTAAATAAGGTCCGTCACATCTAGCTCAAAAAGTGCATTTCTAGAAGTATTTTATTGACCCGAGGATTTTATCCAGCGGCTTCTTAAGGAAATCCGGGGAGTCAGTAATGAGGTATATAAAAAGTTTAAGACACGGTCTTTGTTTAAAAAAAATTAAGCATCGTAAATTGGCAGCAACGGGTCATCGGTGTTTGCTGAACTTCATTTTAAGTTATCGGTACGGTTTCCGAGTAACGAATAAAAACACAATCATAGTTAAACAATGGGTGCATAATGATATAACGATCAAAGGTCTATACGTTGATTTCTGTATTTCTTCCTTCTCATGAAGCTTATTATTGATACTGCTTGCAGTGGGATGTAATTGGAAGATCTGTGTTTTATTCCTAGTCTCACACAATTCTGCTGGTTCAGCCGACCAAGAGGCCTGAAGGCAGGACGTACGCTGATTACGAGTCTGTAAACGAGTGCTTGGAAGGTAAGTCACTAAAGGCAGACATTTGCACTAGCAATGGCCCATATCTAATTTAATTGTGGATTTCTTCCAGAACATCTGGAAGAATTCCCTGTAGCTGGTCTTACAGCACTTTCTCACCTGTGTTTTGGGGTGTGTTTAGTTGTGGTTTGGTATGTGTTTGGTAAGTACAATGTGGGGTTTTTGGAATGGGGGGAGGGGGATCCCAAATGGCTCAGATGTTAAAGGCTGTTGCGGGGCGTGCAGGTGGGGCTCTCTGATTTCAGTTTTGCGAAGTTCAGCAGGGGCTGTATCTTCGTCGGATTGTGATCGGGATTCTCCGAAGGCCGGGGCACAGTCGGTTCAGTGCCGCCATTAGTAGGGTTGGGATTAGTCAGAAAGGGTCCTTTTCACTCTTGGCAAAACTTGTCGGGCACTTGCCCACTTGGCTAATGCCATGATCAGCGTGCTACTCCACTAATCCGGACCGACCCACTGAGTCCATTAGAGCTGTGCATTGCATCTGCTAATAACCGTGTAAAAATGTATCTGCCAACTTACTTGGCTTAAGATGCACGTTTTATAATGGGACATTAGGCAATTGGAAAATTAGGCTCCACTGATCACATTTAATAGACTTGAATAACAGTGAAATTATTTGGCAGTGCAATATTACCTATACAGTTATATTAACCATAAAGTAATATGCATTATTCACATGCCTCTATTAGAATCTTAGTAAGCATGTTGTTAAACTTGGTTTTTGGATTCAAGATAGTATGTTTTAGTGGCGTACAAATAAGGAATAGATTTTGTTTTTTTGTGCTGTAGAATGTGAACAGGCTATAAATTGATATGGCAAATGTTTAACGCAACATAAAATGCTCTCAACACAAAAGGGTAGTCAGAAAATTCAATACTGACGTATGTTTGATGATTCACTTCAGTGTTTTTTTTTAACATTTGGCATTCTATAGTAAAGATGGGACAAACTAAAACTTCAAAATGTAACTGCACATGCATTACTATTTTTAATTTTTCCTAAACCAATGCCTTAAGGTGGAATTGGGCTTATTTGTGCTTTGTTGCAATGTATGTTTCTCCTTCTCTTTTTACTTTAGCTATAGCCAGAACTTTTTGTCTAACCACAACACTTTCATTTGCTAGTCAAAGGACCTGCTTTAGTCTCTAACTGCTATACCTTTGCAGGCTATTTGTGTGACAAACACGTTTGTTAGTATTTGGACAGGTATTTTTTATGCTCTGTTATTCCGGTACAGTTTGCAGGATGTCTAAAAACTGTCCTAGTACGCAGCTTGGCTTGCGTTGCTCTGGATTTTTCACTGCTACTTCATGCATCTCGCACATCACAGTCTCTTTTCTTCTGCATCAACTCTAGATGACATTGTTGCAATGCTAGTGTAGTCTCAGACAGATGTGATTTTTTTGTGTTGGTATCTCACAGTGCTGCATTCTATAAACAAGTTCAGTAGAACTACAAGTCTGTGTACTTGTTCATCACTAAAGTGTAAAACAAAATAACAGGTGGACAGTTTATCTTGGAAAGTTTCAAGTGACAGTTTTAGTGCTCAAAGCTGACTCTGTGAAGACTGGTTTCTATTTAACTTATGATCTTAAGAATTTAATTACACTAATCTTAAGGAATGTGATTGCATGTTTAGAAGCCTTATTCAGTTGATTATTGAAAGTTTCTGTATAATCTGCCTGGGATTCCCCTAAACCATGATGCACAATTCTTCACCTCCAATCAGTGCTGGGTCTCTGGCAGAGCTGTTGTGACTGTTAAAGTAGGGGGTTCAGGGGAACCTACATTTCCTCATTCAATCATGTACCCTGCACTGTGACATATATACATGACATTGCATGTATATGCATGATATACACCTAATGGAATACAATAGTAAGTTGAGTTTTGTATGATGTATTGTTCATATTCTATTGTCGTGTAAACATCGTGCCATAAAATCTACATCTGATATGACTGCATAGAAAAATTGATTTTAAAGTTCTGTCACCCCTGAAACAGTAGTGTGCTGTGAGATGTGAGCAGGTCTATATCTTGGACATGCTAAGTGGTTTTATCGAGTGTCTTTGTTCTTGTAGGAGTGTGCAAAATGTACGAGGAGCATCTGAAGAGGATGAATCCCAACAGTCCATCCATCACCTATGACATCAGCCAGCTGTTTGACTTCATCGATGAACTTGCTGATCTTAGCTGTCTTGTGTAAGTTTTTCTTTAAGCTTAGCATGTGGATGGGGCCAAACCTTTTGAAAAGGCTTTGAGAACATATAGCTGAAGTTTGCACACACCCTGAGATGGATTTCAGAGTTGCAGATTCTGGTTTCATTCCAACATACCAATTTTTTATAAAAATTTAAGTTTGCATTTGCATACTTGATAACTATTTGAGAATATAAATCATGATATAAATTAGGAAGTGCAGTATACCCATACACATACATGCATACTCTTGATAATCCAGCAATTGCATCATCATAATGTAAACATTCACCTCTTATCTCTACTCTTCTTAATCTTCTTAATCCATTTGGAATCCTTTGGTCTCAAAAATTACTACTGTATGCACTAGGGTATATGCCAAACTACAGTTGGGCATATGCCCTATTTGCATCTTTTCCTGAAGTTGCGTTTTGAAGGCAAAGATTCATTATGCAAGACCTACCCTTTTGATATTCATGTTGGAATCCTGTTAGCATACAGGTGAACCACTAGTTAAATTCGAATTTATCTCAGTAACTTGAAATGTAATAGAAGACTTCTCTGTAATTGTTTGCTTCAGTTTTTGTTACCATTTTATGGCGGTGGTACATTAACAATTTTCCAGTCAGTGGGTGCTAACTCCTGTCTTTAGTGGCTGCTGGAAGAGATTTCTAATGACCTACAAATAACTTTTGTAATAACCCTTGTTTCCTTTGGTACAATTGGCAGCAAACCATCACGGCATGGAGATGTGTGTTAAATGCATCTTGTACCAGTAATTTTGCTTCTACTGTGCTAGTCCTTTTCAAGACCACTATTGTGGAGATTAGTGAGTTGAACACAGTGGTGAGGGTATGGGTTTCTAGTGATATGACAAGACTTGGCAATTGCAAGAATCTACATGCCATTGTGTTTTAGCTTCAGACATCTCTTTCCTTTGTCAGGTTCCGTGCGGACACTCAGACGTATCAGCCTTACAACAAGGACTGGATCAAGGAGAAGATCTACGTGCTACTGCGTCGCCAGGCTCAGCAGGCAGCCAAATAGTGTGGATGGGCATGGGTGTCTTACCGGGGGTGGGAGGTTGGGGTCAGGCAGCAGGGAGGGGGGCAGTGGAGACCATTTTTGTATAATAGTAGATGAGATCTTGCTGAAACTTGGGATTTGTTTTTTTTTTTAAGATGGATGGGTAGGGGAATGCTGCTGTTTGTTTTTGCTATTTAAAAATATATTTTCACCCTCCTTTTTTCTTCAACTGCAACCTAAAACAAGAACGACTGAAAAGTTTCTGCTAGGAGATTGAATTGCGATCTCTTTTTCTTTTTCCGTGTAGGTTTTCACCAGATGGCGCCTATTAGAAATGCAGGTTCAGGGATTCCTTTGCAAGTCCTAATGTAATGTGTGCAGACAGCAAAGCCTTTATCATAATCTTCATGGTTCTGAAAGGAGGTAACGGTTTATCAGAGTGATGCCTGGGCTTAGTTGTACTGAGACGTTTTAGTAATCCTTGTTAAAGAGCAAATAGCTGTTTACCAGTGTTGTTAAGATAATTGGTCAGTAGGATTTCAGAATTGCAAAAGTTGCTCAAAATGCATTCTATTTGTTTCTTACTGATGGGCAATCATACCTTTCCTGTTTTTACTTGTACCAGTTTCGTAAAGTTACTGTGCTGGCATGGTAACTAGAGAGGACCACCCTCATGCTGATTGATTTCCACAGTATTGTGCACTTGGGAGAAGTCTCTGTCGTGTTGTTTCTTTGGGATATGAGTTTGAAGTTGTATTGGTCCCCAAGTAGAAGGTGCCTGGGAACCTATCTGGATTAACAGTTAAATCATTAGGACAGGGTCGGGGGAGTCCTAGAAATGACCTTATAATTCACAACTTTTAAAGAAATGGCTAGGACATAAATCACAGGATAAGAGATGACTAGAGAGCAACTCTGTTTTACAGCTACAGGCTATTTGTTCTGGTCATTGGAGGAAAAGGTTCAAGGCTTCAAAAAACACATTCTGAAAAGGTTATCTGGTCAGGCTTGTAAGAACGAGAGGTGAAGTGAAAGGTCAGTTCAAGACTTGTTTTTAACTGTAATAAAACTCAGTACATGGTGGCGGTAGGTCACTGTCCTAAAGTTAACATAATTAGAGCAGACAACTAACACTAAAATCTGCATTTAACCCGCTTAATTTAGATATGCATAAACATTCAAAATTGTGCCCTTGGTCATTTTATAAAATGACAGTGTGGTACAGATGACATCTTGTGAAATTTGCTGACATTTGAGCCCTGCCAAAAGTGTGAATTGAAGGATAAGTATCTATTTGGCTGTGCTCCCTGTGGAGCATTTTTCTGCTTATTTCGATTGTCAGGTTTAAGAACGTGGAAGAGGATTTTATAGTGTATTGTTCCATATTCATTTGCGCCATTTGCTGAAGACCCTTCACAGAAAGTTTTTCAAATCACTTTGGAGGTTCATCTTTTGTTTAACCTTACTCTTGTAAACATTTGTCTCCTTGTCACCCAGTAGACCTTGTCAGCACCCATTAAAATGTTTCTTTTGTGTTTGACAAAATAAATACCTCTTTATCTGTTAATACTTGTGGTTTGTGTGTGCTTAAATATGACTTAAATTTGATTACAGTATGTAGAGTCTTTTGTATCTCTTGGTATTAAGTAGTGGACTGGCTAATCTGGTAAGGTGTTCGTTATTTGTAGTCCTCATACACCTAAAGATCACACCATATTTCCAACAAGGTAATAGGTTTAATTGACTTATTTCTTGTGTGTCAGTTGTTGTAAAACATCTCTAGCATGCTCAAAATGGATAGGTTTTGTACTTCTGTTTTGGTCACTTTGTTTCCAGTGGCTACATGGCTGATCACTACTGTCAATTCTACTTGTCTGATGTGGTGAAGGGGGATGGCACGGTGATGCAGTAGTTAGCATTGCTGCCTTGTAGTGCTGGGGCCCTGGGTTCAGTTCCTGGGGTGGTATTTAAATTGGGGTTTCTATGTCTCTACATGATTAATTGGCTTTTGTAAAATTGGCCGTGGTGTGAGTGTGTGCATGTCTTGTTTGCCCTGAAATGGACTGGCATCCACTCTGGGCCATTGTCACCCTAGAAGGATAAGTGGTTATCCACTTCATCCCAAGAGTACCCAAATCAAAGCCGATAAAGCAGTAGCCCGAATGGTTCAAATAAAGTCAATTTTAAAATATACAAAACAAGAACGTATTTTAAGAATGATTCAAGTTGTCTGCTTAAAGTGAGAATGATCTGCAAGTGTAGGTAAAAGGGGATTTTGGAACACCAGAGTAATGAATATTGCAATAGAAGCTCAACATCACAACAGCACATGGAAGCAAACTGTTCTGTGGGAGGAAAATAGCTGATGTATTAATATAGACATACCATTCCTCAGGCTGAGAAAAGACCATGTTCTATTCTAAATACTTACATATAAATGTGTTACAGGTGCTTTATACACTTGAGATAAATCTCTCTTATTGTATTATATTATGTATTAAGATAAGATCACTTTATTAGCCATATGCAATTTCTTGCATCAGGAGTTTCTTTTTGCATACCCCAGCTTGCTCTCCATGCTTGGGGTCAGGCAGGGGAAGCCATTTATACAGCACCCCTGGAGCAGCTGGGGTTAAGGGCCTTACTCAGGGGCCCAACGGAGTAGGATTCCTCTGCCAGCCATGGGATTTGAACCGGCAACCTTCCAGCCACAGTTCCACCGCATTGCCCATTATTGCTATAATATTGAAACTAAATTGCTGTTTATTATAAAAAGCCACTGAAAAGTAAACTGGAAGAAAAATCTACATCACTCTCCTTTATTTATTCATCGGCTGTTAACAAAACTCATCCAACAGTGTTATATACTAATATACATGTAATTGTAAATCGGTATGCTTTGCTTGTTGTGAAGATCATAATAATTAGGTCTAAGCAAAGCTGTGCTTAGTTCTAGGAGTACCCCCATTTCTGCTGGAGTTTCTTACATTTTGGCCCTTAATTTACAGTGCTAATTGGTGGCTGTAACTGATCGGCTTTCTGGTTTAGACTTTTTTTCTGCATTCAGTCCTTCATTTCAAAATTACCCTAATTAATGTAATTATTTCCAACAACTTCAGCACACAGAGCCTTGTACTGCAAACCTTCAACTTGCAAATTAAGAAATTGCTCCTTTCTGACTAAACAGCTCTTAATAGGTGATCAAGAGATAATGAACAGACACAGGTAGGAATGACATTGTATCAGAAAACTCCCACGGTGAGTCAGTGTTTCCTTCTGCTTAAGTCCAATTGGTTATATTTCAGCTAACACATTCAAGTGACAGCGGTAATTAGCATAGGGTTGATTCCAATTACAAATCTGACTACTCTAAAGCAAAAACCAGAACATATGGGGGTTACCTAGTATCATGACTAAAAACCACTGAAAAGGTGAATCATCTCTAAGGCAATAGGATTCCAGGGTATTATCAACCTACTATAGATTTAGAAAAGGTAAGTCTTGATCAAGCAAGAGCAGTAATGGATATGTAGATTTTCAGAAAGTTCCTTATGAAAGATGAATTCTCAATTTGCAAGCCGAAGGCATGAGATTGGATTGAGAATAGTATAAGAGGTTCTCAATCAGATAAGAGGTGAATGCTCCAATTAGGGTAGTACCATAATTAATTGGAGCAGTAGAGAGATCTGTTAGGACCACTGCTCCTCCTAATTTATATCAATGACTTAGATTCTGGTTCAGTTAGTAAACTAGTTAATCATGCAGATAATATTGAAATAGGTTTTGCAAACACTGTAGAAGCTCTAAAGGAAATGCAGAATGGCTCAGACAAAGTTTGAGACTTAAATTTAAAATATGTAAAAATGAACTATAAATAAAGGATGGGGAACACTGAGCTTTAAGAAGCTATTTATGAAAAAGACACAGGTATTTGTTGACATAATTATTAAAACAGAATATTATATATTGAGTCAAAAATGTAGAAAAGGTGATATGTAAAAATTGTACTTTTGCGCTTGCAAAAAAAAATTTAGAATGCTCTGCACAATTGTGGTATCACATTACAAAAAATATATTACTGCTCTAGATTCAGCTTAAAGACGAGCAGCCAGATACACTCTCAGAATCAAAGGAATGTCCTTCACTGGGAGCTTAAAAATCCTGAAACTTCTACAGAGAAGACTAAGAATGAACACATTTCATGTATTTAAAATCCTCAAAGTATTGACAAAGTCATCCTTGCAGTATTCTTCAGAATCAACAGTTAAACATGAATCAATAGTACATTTAAAACTCGGACCAGTGGGCTTTTCTTTACACAAAGGGTTGTGGGAGTCTGCAACACGTTGCCCAGAATTTATGTTCAAGCTGCTACCCTGGTTTCTTACACGAAACAGCAACGTGGGATCCTCCAATCTATTATCTATTAGAAATTAAACTAATTGGATGGGCCATATGACCTCTTGTTATTTGTTACATTTATTATTGTCTCATGTTTGTAGCTGTGAGCTCAAATTCCTGGCTTGAAAACAATCCTGAAAAATCATTAAAAAAATAAAATGTCTTAGAAAACAAGGACAGAATTCCAATGTTTCCAAGCAGGTGTAGTCTGTCCAGATCTGTCCCACATGCCCGTCACCTGGCTGGCATCAAACCTGACCCCTATCCTATCCCATCACCCCCTATCCTCCATATAGCCAGTTACTTGCCTGTAAACACAACCCCCAAACCTGCCTTCAAGGGTGAGTCCCAGTGACCCCGAAGTGTCATGGGAATCTAGTTTGGATCATTTTTTGTCTGGCACCTCCCCTTTGACCAATTTGCCAAAGGTAACCATACCAGGCACCCAAAACTCCCGACATCATACCTCTGAGGCTCCCTGGGTCACTCTAGCCCCTCCACCTTGACAAGGTCATGACCCCCGGAGGGGATCCCCGAGGAGGAGCTAGAAACTGCTGCTGGGGAAAGAGAAGTCTGGTCTGCCCTGCTCAGCCCAACACCACCACGACCCTCGCCAGGAGCAAGCAGTAAGAAAATGAACTGAGATCAGAGTAAGCTACTATGTCCTAAGATGGTAAAAGAACCTGACATTTGCTTTGAGCAACAGCATCCATTTTTAATAAAAAAAGAAAGGGCTAGGATCAAATTGTTGTGAGTGAGAATAAAGTTGTAAAATGCCATTGGAAACCACTGAAATGTCACGGAAAAGGCATTGAGTTGGCCTAGAGGGAATGTGAAAACCCTGCCCTTCTCTTTTTATTTGTTAAAATCGTTCTTTGAGGGCTGTTGAGTGACATTTTTCACTCAATCAAAGTAAAAGTGACTCTTGAGATTTTCAGAACTGAATGTCAATTATTTGTGAAGATTTTCCATATTTGTTTCTACTGAAATACAATATGAAGGTTTCTCATGCCATGAACACGTAATTTTTTAAATGCCACAACTCTGGCTAGCCCAAGCCATTTCATTGCCAAATCACTTTTTTACTAAAAGCTATATTCTGACAACACTAGCCACACACAGCTGGAACAGTTAACAGAACGTGGATATCATTAACTGACAAAGTGCATTTTGATTTTCAGACATTTCACTTTAGAAGTACTGAAATGTAACTGTAAATATTAATGTTGATTGTAACATTTACTAATGTCCATTTGACAATAATAACAATTACACATTTCAACATTTTTACAGTTGGTACAATGGATACACAGTTTAAAATTCTTTTTTTAAGCTCTGGTAAAACAGAGCTGACTAAACGATTGTATAAATAAAATACCAAAAGTATTTCCCCATTTGTGATTTTGTGTTTAAAGTCAGAGACAAAAACTAACATCAGTGCCTAAAAAGTCAAACTTTCACTGGAACGTGCACACATTCCAAAAGATCTTCTACAACATATCTATAGATTGAAAATATTTCACTGGGGAGCTGCTTTTGCAGGCTTTGGCTGCAAAGGAACAAGTAAAGGTTAATTCCACGCTGAAAAATAGAAAGGAAAAATGCAGCGTGTTCACCCTTGAGCCTTCCTCATGCATGGGAAATAATTAAGAGCCTTCTTCATTCATTTGTCTTAATCTTTCAGGGTGGAACTAACTTCCTTGTATCACACAATGCAGTAGAAGACACTGAATAGCAGTTCTCCTTTGTCAATATACAGCCGCCATTATTGTATGTAATGATGTATTGAAAACAAATATGAATTTTATCATGCACAATTTAGTCTAGTCTACTGGTAGTCACATTTATGGGGACTCTTGGAAACATTATTTAAATAAACTTAGAGAAAAATTAGAACATACTATTGACTTGTAGTATATAGAATGGGTATTCATTATCTCAAGAGAAATTCCAACAAAGAATGAGAATTCCTGCAATTTAACTCCAAGCATTTAGGAATGGTTGGTCTGCTCTCTGAATTCCATCCTAAAACATTAGTGGAGTATTTTGTCCATGTGGCTCTGTGTACAGTATTTGCCAGGATTTATTTCAGATTCTTGACATATTTCACCCTTTCTAGTTTCAAGCAATTTCATTTGTGGTCAAGTGACTTGGGAGGCCAGTGCATCAATGTTCCAGCCAGAGCTTTATTATTTAATTTAGAGTTTTTTGAGGTTGTGTGATAGAAGACATTGGATGAGACACTCTGCCCAGGAGTCTTTTCCTGAAGGAACAGCATCATTAAAACAGCTGCAATGATGTTACTCCTTTACAAATGTTCCCTGTGTTTCTACAACATCCAGGCACCAGAACGTAAGAGCCTCTGATCTTCATGTCTGCCATCTCTGTGCTTTGGTGTTGAACATTTCTGCAATCTCTCCCTCGGTTTTCTTTTCACTTCCAGTCACAGTTACATTGAAGAATTGTTTGGTCTCCAGAACTATTCTCCATTTCTTTTTTAAATGGTCTTCTTAGCTTCACACCTTTCCCTACTACAACAGTATCCTGCTTTTCTTCAGCATTTTCTTGGATATAGTGACATCAGATCTAGCATGAAGATAAACATCAAAAATTGTGTGTGATTCTGGAGTTGATTTAATTGTTCTTGTTTTTCTTCTCTGTTCCATTTTTCTTGCTATTAAACCACAATTTATATTTATCTGTTCATTTACAGTCTTATGCAAAATTGACTTTTCTTGTATTTCCTGCTGAGAATTCTCTCCACTGTGGAGGGTAATTGAGATAATTATAGGTACATGATTTAATATCTTCTTTGAATACTTATCTACCCACCTTTTACGTCCCCTGTTTGGAAAGAACATGCTGAAACATTTAATGCTTTGTTCTAAATTTGTACATGATCATTTTGACTCAGTTCTGAAAACTGACAGCTGCCTTCTGAGAGAGGAGTTTATAAGGTAAAACGGAGAGAGGGAAATTTCACAGAGGTAATTGAGGTAACATACTGTATATTTAGACCTATCCACAGTAATATTTTCCTTGAAGAATAAACAAATGGCTTTTGTATAATTGTACTGTTTCTGGTAAATTGTAAATTATGAAAATTGACCTGTTCTTAATAAACTGCACTGCATACATTATCTCATGTTTCTCAACAAGACAAGACATTTACGGACATATCCGTGTTAACTCGGTTACAGCACTGTTCCAACGCTTAGAAGTAACAATTAAGAATTAAAAAAAGTCCAGTATCAATATTTTTGTTGACCTACTGCCTGTAACCAGACGCCGGTAAACGATAACGTTTACGGTTTTTTTTTTCCAATTTCAACTATAGTAATCTACCGTTGTTAAAACACTTCGGCAGACATTATTTTTTGCACGGAGAATCCTGCTTTGGAAATACTGAGTAGCGTAGTTGCTAAGGGACAACTGACTAGTTTCGCAAAGCTGACATAAAATGATTTCCCAAGTATACTTTAATGTGTCCAAAGAGGCCGTACACATTTGTGAATTGCCTGGGTGAATGCGCAGGCATCTGGACGCTATCCAGTCGATGTCTTCGCTGAGCTACGTGCGGAGGAGAGATAAGACGGACACCATAGCGATGCAGCCACACAGCACCTCTGCACTGTGTGCCCAGTTTAACCTACAGCCGTAGTCCCGCCCATCCCTGCACTTTTAAACACCATCAACTTGTCAATCATCACAGCACTGGCCAATCGCTTAGTAGGGGAGACCCTTGTTGTTCTAAAGAGGTATTGATTTTCACACATGATGGAGCTCGCGGGAGATGCTTATTGATTCACCTATTTATACCTTTATCATTTTTAACCTGCCTTTGATTTTTTTTGTAAAGCATATTTTACTAGGCACGTTCTTCTAATTTTTTTCTTCCTTGAATCGATTTCAGTCCTTTTCATACAAAATGCCTGCTAGGTATGGTGCATTTTGTACAATACTAATTATGGAAAATGTTAGCAATAGTCATGTTACATGATGTTGTAAAACAGTCACTGTCGTTTATCAATGTGTAGAGGGTGCTATACTTTGATGTGGCATTGTCTGGACGGTGGGGCTCTGATTTGTATATATATATGTTTGCGAGGGGAGTGGGGGGTTAAAACACTTAACGTATCCTTAAGAATCGGTAAAGAGAAAAAATCAGAAAATAGATCCAAGACGCTTCCTTTCATTGGGTTTGAAGTTGAATTAGCATAAGATAATAGTGCTCTGGCTTTTCTGTGAGCGGGTTTTTTTGAAGCGTTTGCTGCGTTTAATCTCTGGCAATGAAGGACGCGGCTGCACAGCCCATTTACTCGAGTTTTTTCCACCTTTGTGTTCTGAACTGATCTCTTCTCACTCTTGTTTCTCGCCACCCCCCACCCTTAGCATCTGAAAAGGCTGGTGCCTTTGAGTCGATGGCGCAGAGGCCCCACTGACAGGACAATAACCCACAAAGACGCGGTGAGTTGCTTTAAAAGTTAAAATACAAATTTAGCTGGAGCGGGAGTGAGAGAGAAAGTGGGGAGGGCACAGAGATGGGGAGATAGAGCGTCCTTTGTGATTGAGTAGAATGCATCGAGCACATCTTTTTTTTATTCCTTCTAAATAAGACAGTTGCAAGGATCGTGCTGTTGCTGGTACGACAGACATTCTGCCTCACGAATTTTTTTGCTGTATTCCCCTTGCCTAAATTGCACGACCCCCTCCCCAGACTGCTGAAATGGACTGGAGTTGTCTTGCGGACTTGGTGCTCGTTCGGTCCTCCCTCCCCGATGCAGAATGTGCGATGCAGTCGGTTTCAGTGCAGACGCCGTTGCGGGTTGTAAATAAAAATAACAAAATGCGAGAGTCTGCTGTAGGGTAGGGAGGTCTGCCCGCTTCGAAGGACCTCCCCTGGAAAAAAAAAACAAGAGTGTTCGGAGGAGTTTGCTTCTTATAATTGGAAATGAGCTTCCGTTTTTTCACTTAATCAAGATGCTGATTAAATAGATGACTTGTCCTTGCCAGTAGTGGGAGGATAATTGTATTCCGGCTACTTTAAGCGTTTTGCGCTGCATTGAACTGGAGGTGTAGACCACTGTGTCAAAGCTGTTGACTCTTTGACACGAACAGACATATAAACTGCACTCTTACATAGGCTCAATTGTTTATATACGCAAATGCCCCTACTTCTATTAGACACGTGTGTGTTTCATAATAGACAATTACACACAGGGACGGATCTTCTGAGCTCAGGTTATAAGGTTGAGTTTAAAGTGTTGTTGTTTGCAGAATTAAATCAAATGGCGTATATGTGATATATCTGTAGTTGTTTTCATAAGGGGGGTGAGATAACCCTCATGCACCAACAAAGATGTCAGTTCGTTTTGCCTGGCACAAGCCAAACGCGGTGCGCCTCTGCATTGTTGAGAGAAAAGCGAGTGATAGGGTGGTCGATTTTTAAAGACACAAAATGCGTTATGTCGTGCTACAAACGGATTTTTATTGTTTTTCGAAATCTATTTTCCACTGACAACAAAGTAACAAGATGTCGGCGAAATGTGGGGACCCCGCAGCTGCAGTCTGTGGCGAGCTTTGGGGGGCGGGAGACACTTCCTTAAATGTTTAAACTTAAAAAAAAAACCATCACGAGTGTTTATGTTACATTCTTAAATGATCAACATCAGTAACGGCAGCAGCAGTTCAAAGGTGGGCTCAGAGTTCACATTATTCGGGCGAGATTGACAGAACTGTTTCTGATGCTGGAAGACGTGATACAGTGTCTGGTTTTAGATGCTGTCTGGGGCTGAGGTGCAGCTGAGACCCCTGGCAAAATGAAACTGAAATCACAGTCGCCCAAAGCTAATTGGCTGAATTTGCTAAAATTTAACGAGAGTCATTCTTCTTATCTTCTTGCTCGGCATTACTTATTATCGGACAGGTTTCCAGGTTAGTAAGATGTGGAATCATTTACAAACCGGCGTATCGGAGTGTCTTTGATAATGGACTCGAATACAGCTCAGTGTAATTTATTTCAAACGCGTATCCAATCCTCTGCGTCACACTGTTTTGTCGGCCCCATGAAACGCATGTGCTCGTTTTGTTGCTTGTTTATAATATCTTTTCATAGCTATCAAATCAAGGGAGCTTTTAGAGTAATTTATACGAAGGAGAAGGGAACATACACAACAATTCTCCCTTGCAGATTGTTACAGTATTAAATTAAAGTAGAGAATTTTAATAATTTTCTGGAGTCGTCTTTGAAATCGAGTTGACCGTCAGGGTCATTCAGCATCATCCGAATCAGTAATCAAGTAATCCCACACAGAAAGCAGAGTACTTTTGTTTGATAAAATTCCCAACGGTTGTTACTGTTATGTGTGGACAAGCAAAATGTTAGACTTTTTTTGGCATAGTTCTTTATAAATTGAGCCACGCACCCGTTATTGAACTTACGATGAAAGCCGGGGATTTGCAATCACAATTTAAGGCAGAGGAGGGCTAGCCTGGTCCTGGGGGGCCTGTGTGTCTTCAGCGTTTCATTCCAACTCAACTCTCAACAACCTGAATCAGCTCATTATTGGCTTAATTGGACTGATTTACAAAGCTTCTCCCAGCTCTTTGGGTGCTGCTGCTTTGAAGAGACCTAGAAACCCTGCAGACACACTGGCCCTCCAGGACCAGGATAACTCAGCCTTACCTTAATGAAAGTTTTTACCTTCCTTTTCTCTGACATTGCGACAAAAATGTTTTATTTCTTGCCTTTCCCTTTTCTGAATCGGAACAGAAAATATGAAAAATATTCCCCTTAGTCTACCTAAGAGAATAAAACACTTATATCTGCTTTTTTCCATGTTACTGATATTCAGTCTAGGTCCTTGGCCCTGTAGGGCTGTTGTGTTTTTTCTTTTTTATTACACCCCGGGTGTAAAATGATTTGAATCACTTAGTTCCCTCTCTTTCCATGTCTTAACTCGCTGACGATTAAGTCATAAGATGTGACTGAAAATAAAATATTCCCAGAGTCTTAAGAAGAAAATCCAAAAACTGTTTTTGTTTCTTTACAAGCTGAGAATTGTTGATTCCCTCATTCTGCTAGATCTCTGTACAATATGACTCCAGTAACATGGTTTTTGGGAACCAGTTTGGCATATTCCATGGCTGCTCATATTGTTGAAGTGAATCACATGGTTTCCTCATCTAGATGTAAGGGCACTGAAAAACTACACATCTCAGGGAGAGGTGGTGATATCAACCTTAGCCTTCTAAAAAGAGAGCCTTTCTACATTTTCAGAAAGATTAATATAATGTGGATTGAACACAGAATTAGATTTTTGATGTTTTATATAAGTGGGAGTTTGATTTATAAATGTAATCTTTCTAAAGTGATTTTAAATGAGCACTCAGTTTTGATCGTGTTTGTGCTTGAATCTTTAGTGAAATTTATATAATCAGATGGGTCTATTTATTCAGTATGGTTCTTCCGAATGAAAACAAGTTCTTACCTCTCACTGGGAACCAGTTGCTGGTTGGGGAATTTCTATATAGAGTGGACCAAACATGTTTGTTCTGATGAAGGCTTTTGTGCTGAAACCTTGACAAGTTTTAAAATAATAACTGTATTTTGGAGTATCTGGTGGGGTGGCACAGTGGTGCAGTAGTTAGTATTGCTGCCTTTAATTCCTGACCTGGGGCACTATCTGCATGGAGTTCATATATGTTCTCCCCATGTGTCTAAGGACATATTGGTAGGTTTAATTGGCTTCTGTGAAAAAGTGGCCTTGGTGTGATTGTGTGCATGCCTGTGTTTGTGTCTGTGTGTGTTCTGTGATGGACTGGTGGCCAGGGAATATCCTGCCTTGCACTCATTGCTTGCTGAGACAGGCTCTGTTCCTCCACGACCCTACATTGGATGAAGCGAGAAATTGGATAGATAGAGTATATAGGGTACAACCAATTGACCCGATTTTTTAATCTGTGTAAGCATATCAGGTGTCTCCTTCAATGACCCACAAAAGTCTTCACATCCGACTACTCCATGTTATCACGTAGGTTTATTCTTGCTTTTTTGTTTTTGGCAGCAATTATACCAGTAACATTTTGAGTAACAACTGAAGTTCAGGGTCATGGTTGTTTGTCATGTTTGTTGTCTCATCAGTTTTGCAGCTTAACATATCAGGGCCAAAATTTGAAAGCAGAATGTTAAAGGCTACTATCAACATTTTAATAATTTCCTCAAAATCAAGCCAGATTCAGAATGAAAAAAAAGACAGGTATGTTAAAAACTCTATTACCGGAACAGAGCTTTTTTGCAAATGCCTTTTGTTTAGAAGAGTGAGCAGTTCTGAGCTACACTTCCAGTCATTTAAAAATGGCTGGTAATAGACTGATCAAGCGAATATTACCACAGGGTGTAAGAAAAGAAACTGTAACCTTGTCTCAGTCTGCACAGGGGCCATAATTTAAACCACAGAGGAAAGGTGCTGGTGTTTGTGGTTTACAAACATATAGAAAGGACTAATGTTGTTGTAAAAATGTTCTCCAGAAAAGTTTGAGGTATCTCTTACACTCTGAAAAAAATGTTTCCTACTTTATAAAATATATTTCATACTTTTTATGGTGCATTTGAAAACAATCCGTATTCCTCTAATAGCTCTTGCATAATGTTAAGGGCTATTATTTAAACAGTCCTATACCCCTGTGTGTTTAGGACGTATGGCTACTTAAAGAAGCAAAATGGATTTAGTGTGTTATCAACTGTATTGTAAGCCTGGTATGTTTAAACTCCGACAATTGTCATTCAGTATCACCAAGATAAACCCAGGGGTTTGATTAAGTTGCAGAAAAAAATCCATTGCTCAGTGCTCCAAGCAAAGATACAAATTTCCATTGGGGATCATTACATGAAATAATGCTGTTTCAAAATTTGATCCATATGTTGTAGAAATGGTGTTTTCCGGGCAAGGTAGAGCTGTAACAGTTGACAAATGTCTGTTGAACCTTTAGCTAGCTCTAGAGAGTAGTAAAAATAGTGGAAACAAATCAGATTGTGGCTTGTGTAGTAGTTTCTAATGCATCAATGTATGAGAAGACTTGTTGAAGATTTTTTTAAATGAGCACAGTGTCTTCTGGGCTTCCACTAGACTAAAAACTCTGAAGGACAATTGAAAGAAGGGAATGCCACTGTAAAACAGTGGAAGAAATCAGTCCTTATGTTATTTCACTTGATGGTTTTCACACAGCTGCAGTAACACAGGAGAGGCTTAAAAGTAAACAAAAACTGGTAGTGGAAAGTGAACAAAATCATAGAAAAAAAGTTAAAAAAAGACTTCCACATAAACACTTGGAGAGACAAGGTAAGGCAGACAAAGCTTTCTCTACCACCTTGCTTTATTTAAACACTTCTGTTTTCCCACAATACTGTATGTCCTGGTCTGGTTTAAAATGAATGTCTTGCCTTTTTAGCTACAGGTAAGAATCCTATCAAATACAGCCAAGTTTCTTTTTGTTCTAACTATTTTGGCTATTTTTTTGGTTGTTTTGTCTCTGAGTTCTGTATTCGACCATGCTCTTGGCAACTGTTATGTTATGTTTTATATAGGTAAGTGAGGATGGAATCATTTAGGAAGGTATAATTATTGGGAAGACTACTGTAGGTCCGTTCTGAAACATAGTTAGGAAGTTGATAGATATCCCTGTTTTATTCGGAATCACCTGTCTCTTGTTTCTCACTTTTCCCTCTGTTCATGTTTTTCCCTGTGGTTTTTGGAAAAAGACCTGGTACTGTCCTGACTGGCAGTGTAGACCGAGGGCTAAAGGAGAAGACCATGACGAGGAAGCCGATGCCATTGAGTTCACCACAGGGGGCACTGCGCTGTCCGTCACAAACCCCCTAAGGGCCCCCAGAGCCCAGCCCATGAAGTCCCTGCATGAGCTCAGCACGTCTGCTCTGGATGGGGCCCAGTCCATATGAAGTAGGTCATCCCTTCTGCTCTACTCAGGATTCTCAAACCAGGCACGAAGTCTGTGGAAGATTTTTTAAAATTATGTCTGATTGCAAGTCATTCATGAAATTATCTCATAAAGCTAAAGTGGAAGAGGAATAGGATGCCATCTTGCTCACACAACAAAGCAATTGCAGCCAGAAGTAATAGTAATCCGTTTTATGTACTTGAGAATAAATTGTGCGATGCTTGTGCAGTTGTTTTCATTTCAATCTGATTGGTGCTTTGCTGATTTCTCCCTGTGGAAGGCCTTGGTACCACGAATTTCTGCTGTGAAAAAGTTGTAACATAGCTTGCGCCTGATTTTCCCATCAAAATGTGTGTTGAAAACAACTGATAGATTTAGCGGTGATAGACTGAACATTTTATTTTGAAGTACATATGACAGTTTATTTGTGTTATTCTTTTAAAACTGTTTAGCTGTGACTTGCCAGCACTTAAGGCAGCAAGAATATGTTTTGTGTGGAAGTTGTGTTTATTTACAATATGAATAATTTTGCTGCATATTGTGGCATGATATGTGGTGCAGAAATTACTTCCCTCTGGTTGCACAATAATGTACCTTCTCACTTCTCCTGTACATTACCTGCCCTGTCTGAGTGGATTTGTCTGTTTCTTCTTATTGTCACCCTAATGTGCTTTCTGTGTTCCAATTTCCCTGTAGCAATTGGAGAGAGGCAATTACTTAAGGAGGGGTGAATGGTAGGGAATCTGTGAGGCTGGAAGAGCAAAAACTGGTGTACCTAATCTTTTGGCCAAACAGTGTTTTTGAAGTTGAAACACTGGCTTCTTTCAATAAAGTGCTGGATGAGATCCTAACATCAATTATCTCCTGTGAGTCAGGTTAGATGGGCCAAAGTGGCTCCACAAATCTTTTTTCTTTGAATAAATGAACCTACGTTTACAATATGAAAAAGTGACATGCTGTACTAACAAAGCGTTAACACCCACACACAAATTGCATTTAAATATTTGTCAAAAAGACAAATTTTTGCCGGGCTCTCACTCTGTACTTCCATTTTTTTTAGTAGACTTGCTGACAGGTGTGGGGAAAGAGGTTCTCAGTGAGCTTTAGGAGATCAGTACTAGAATTCACTTGCTCTGTGAATTTCTGTCAGTTAACCAGACTCTTGTCTTGTTTCTTGTCCACCTCGTTCAGTTGACATGGATGATGAAGATGGCACCTGTTTGCTTGATGTTTTGTGGTGAGTAAACCTGCTGTTCACATAGCTTCTCTCATACCTCGACTCTGAGCTGCCTGCTCCTTTAAAGGATTTTCAGTTGTGCTCAAAATGTAATCCATGTAGACAAAAACAGATGACTTGATTTTGAAAGAGATTTTTTCAGATGGCATGCTGGGAAGTGGTTAGCTTGCCTCGCAGTGTTGGGGCCCTGGTTTCAGTTCCAGACCTGGGGTGCTGTCTGTGTGGAGTTTGTATGTTCTCCCCATGTTTGCATGGTTTCCTCTGAGTGCTCTGGTTTCCTTCCACAGTCCAAAACTGGTAGTGTGTGTGTGTGTGTCCTGTGATGGATTGACTTCCTGTCGAGGATGTATCCTGACTTGCGCCTGTTGCTTGCCAGGACAGGCTCCGACTCCCTGAATTGGGAAAAAGCAGTTAAAACATGGTTGGATGGATGTAAGCGGATGTAAAACTGTGATTCCCTTTCATATTGCATTCACATATCCGTCCTAAAATTAAGAGCAAGAGTTTCAATAGTGTCATACTTTAGTTTAAAAATTAAACTAACTCCATTTTTGCAAAACTGAAGGTTTTTATATGTTAGAACATGAAGTGCTGTGTTTGTGATTTAAATATACTTTACAATAATTTTCATTTAATTTTCGAATGATGCTGTGTTTTCTCCAAAATGATTCAAGGCATGCGATTGACTGAGTGTCTTTGCACTGTGGTGCATTTTCACTTTCCTTGATGCAATTAAACTCTGACTCTAAAGATGCCAACAGATTTGGCTTGGGAAGGTGGATTTTTACTGTAAAATACAGGTTAACTAAAGTAGCCTCTGAAAGAGGGTAAATTGTTAGACTGTGAAAAGAACCTGCAGGTTTTAATGTTGCTGTTGAGCTTGGAGTATACCAGTTAAAGAAACAAGTCTGTTTCAACTGTTTCAAAAATGCTTTTGTAATTCACAGAGATGTCTTTGAGATTAACCTAGTAACACCAAGCTACTCATGTCTATGTCTGCATTCTTTTGCCTGCAACCATTTCAGTCATTCTTGCTGCTGCTGTTTTCAGCTCTTCGTGTCCCTTTGTCTCATCTTTGTGGGCTTGTGTGCTAAAGTAATTTCTGAATGTTTCTGGCTTGCTTTTCAAATTCACCTCAGGTGTTGTATTTGGAAAGACAAAATTCACATAATTCTTAGAAAATGCACAGCTAGACACACTGTAACACTAAAGCTACACAGGGATAAGGCTGAACTTAAATACACCAGTGCTGATGTTCAAAGAACATGCCTGTTCTCTCTTTCCTGTAAAGGATGCAATGGGCACTCACAGGTTAAGTGTACTGGAAGCTTAACAGAGTTTTATTGTGGACAGTTGGCACTTCATTGCGGAAATGTCTTGCAGGCAGCCGCGCTTAGCTAACCTGTCCTGCTCTGCTGATACATTACACATTACTATGCCGTTACTCTTCTGTGTCTTCTGTGTTTCCAGTGATCCCCAAGCCTTGAATGACTTCCTCCACGGAACCAATGAGGTAAATCTTCCTGTCACTCCAGACAACCTCTCTGTGTAGCGAAGCCGGGTGCACTATTTCAAAAGACCTATTAGCTCCTTGCCTGAGACATAAGCAGTCAGCCACTCGACATAATTTTGCACAGGAGCCTCAAGCAGGTGGAGGAAATATCTCTCGGAATGGAACTGTGTTGTTTCTTTTGGAAGACTTTGCACTTTTTCACTCTAATTTGTAGAGCAGCACTGGATACGCGCATTGAGGAATGTCCCTGGTGAGGCAGCTGTATGGCAAAGATACAGCGCAAAGATGACAAAGAGATAAACATGTTCTCTCCTGAACTACTGAGGAGAGTTGTTTGACTTTTGCTGAATAAGTCCATTGTGTATGGATGGCTTCATTTGTGTGGTGTGTCTCACATCATCACATAGGACATAGCTACTTGTATCAAAATGAAAAAGTGCTTATTTTTACTAAACACATGAATTCATGCCCTTATGAGTTTATACAAGTTTTGGTTTACAGCAAGGTAGGGTGGTCTTGCCATTCAAGATGAGGAGAAAGGGGGTGCACATTGTAAGCCATTAAAGCTGGAATGTGCATTGCAGGAATGTTTTATACACTAGTGTGAGTTAATGGTCTCATGATCACCTAAGAACAACATATCATTACTTACAACGTGGTATCCTCATTTGTTTTCTTATCCTTTGTTGACTTAGCAGGTATTTGCATCATTTTAATTTATTTATAGATAGGTAAATGTGCAAATCTTGCAGCTGCATGTTTAGCAGTGAGCCCAGTCTGGGTCTTAGTGTCATGGCAGCAGTGACATTTAGGGAAATTATTTTGCTGCACAAAAAGGAGTAATTTAGAAGGATATGTTTGCATATTTATACAATTACACAAGAGTGCCAGTTGACAGTTGCACGATTTTGCAAAAGTGACATGGGACAGGAAAACAGTTTAATCCTGGAAAGTGAGTCGTAATGAAGGGTAGGTACTATTCTGTTTTTTGACTGTCGTGAGACCTTAACAGCCCTTATATACATTTGTACACAAGTGAAGAATTCAGGTCCTAAAGGAAGACTGATCTGTTTAGAGGTATCAGGTCCCAATGTTCTTCAGTCACACAGTCCTTTGATAACTCTTAAATCCGTCTGTTAAGCTGACACAGTTCTTTCCGTTTTGGCAGCTGGAGAGTGGGGACCTGCTCATTAACCCCTCCGAATCTGACCCCTCCCTCTTTGCAGACAGCACAGTGAGTATTCAGGTGGCCCCGTGATCACATTCCCTGGGCCCCACTAATCAAGGCCGCTTTCATCCTCAGCAGATGGTTTCCTTCTTGTCTCCCAGTCACATTTAGTTCAATTTTGGTCACTGCTCCAGTCAGTCTAGGAGAGATGAAAACAGTATACACTGTTGTTTGTGAGGTGATTTATAGGAACTTATGCAGGCGTCAGATGGTCATGGTGGGACAGCCCGTACTGAATATACGACAAAATCTTGGTTACTGGTGCTCAGAATGCCAGGAAATCCTAGCTGACACCATTCCATCTAACAGTAGTGGCATGATGTCCTCAGAGCTCTCACTGACCCTGTCCTCCCTGAGACCATTTAACTTGCAGTGCCATGAGATTTGTAGGCTATTGCTGATTGCAGATGGAAGCACTCTAGAACTCTAGCACTCTGTACTTTCTAAGTGCCCCACAATTGCAATATGTAGGTTTTAATCAGTAGGACTGATTGGGAGAAATATGCCTTAAATTATTTCAATGATTTCATGGCCCGCTAAGTGATGTGGAGTTTTCTGACGAAGGAAAGAGGATCTGATGGTCAAACTCCCCTGTGTCTGTTGTTCCAGAGCCCGGTCTCCCTGCTGGCAGATGACCCCCCATCCCAAGACGCCCCACCTCCTGGCTGTGTGGACCTGTCCTTCCTGGAGGAGGCGCTGCTGGGGTCCCCTGAAGGGAGCCGGGCTCCAGTGGAGCAGGACAGGGAGCAGGATGGAGGGGTGTCAGGAGAGGCGGAGGAGGAGGAGGCCTGTGATATTCTGCGGCAGAGCTTGCAGGAGGCCGACATCACCGAGCAGACTCTGGCCCAGGAGGCGGGGCTGGCCCAGTCTGGCGAGTCCCTGCAGTACCCTGCAGGCACCCTGCTGTCCGCACCTCCTCACTTCCTGCCCAAGCCACTGACCGCCCAAAACCTGGTGCCAAAAGACACTCAAGTAGCTGTGGAGCCGCCCCAACCGTCTCTGCTAGCTGTGGGGCCTGGATGTCCTTCTCTGAAACCCACTGCCCCTCAGCTCATGGGTCTACTCCCAGGCACTGTCTTCCCTGCCCCGACCTCCGAGCCCTCCTTCTCCCTTAACCCAACTCAGGCGTCTGGCATGCTGATCCAGAAGGCCCTGCCCAGTGTGAATGGGCGTCCTCTCTTCACTGCCCCGGCGCTCAGAGCCAGTCCCACCCCTGGCATTCTGCTCCCCAGGGCCCCCCTGCCTATCCAGCCCAAGCTGCCAGTCAGTATCCAACCCCGACTGGTCCAGATCAGCCCCAAGCTCCCTGGCCAGAAGACTTCTCCAGGCTTAACTTTTGTTTCTGGAACATCCTCCCCTAATATCCTGCTGTCCACCGCCCCCAGTGCCAAGCAGCCACCCCCGCCCTCTCAGGGCTTGAGCAAGCCTCTCAGCCTGCAGCTGCTCAACCAGACGGGCAGCATTGTTATCCAGCAGCAGGGCATCTTCCCAGCACCCAACCAGTTCATCCTGCCAGGACAGCCCCCTGTTCATGGGCCCCAGCCGCCCAGCACAGCCCGCCAACTCCTGAGCACAGCAGGCCCTGCCGGTCAAGCAGTCAGACATGGACCCTCTGGTCAGCTGGTTGATGGTGCCCAGATTCTGACCTCACCTCCTGGGCAGCTGAATTTTAGCCCTGTATTCACGACACCCACTGGCCAGCTTGCTGTCAGACAGGGCACCATTCTCTCTGGACCTCTGCAACTGCAGCCTACCGCCCCTGCAATTTTTCAGATGCCAGCCCACCTAGCTGGGGCCTTTGCCTCTCAGGCCCCAGGTCAGAGAGGCACCCTGCTCCACAGCACCACCTTGGGGAACCAAATCACTGTTCTCAACAGTCAGGGGGTTTTGGGTCCAACTGTTAGTGTCCAGCACAATACACCTCCAGATCTGGCTTCAGTGTCCATTGTGAATGGCCCATCGGTAGTGCAAGGTCTACCCTTTGTGTCTCAAGGCCAGCGAGCAGCTCTTACAGGAGCTGAGGGCTCTTCCAGCCTTCAATCCCCTGCCCTGCTGCTCCCAGAGAGGCCCAGGGAGGAAGAAGGAGTCCAAGAAGTGGAAGGAGTCTCTTCTGAGGAGCAGCTAATTCACCTGCCTCAGGTCCGTATACAGATTGTTTCAGATAAATCTGGTCTCAGTAATAATTCTATTTAATTCATGACACTAAAGCTGTAGGCATGCCAGTTTTTGCTGGAAGATTGCTTATAATTTGCAGTAGATCCTAACAATCACATTCAGCCTAAGAGCACCTTGATTGCTCTTTGGAGGAAGTCCAGACCATTTCAAGGAAGAAATAGAGATATTTCAGGGCTCTGGGTACTGAGCAAATAGTATATTTATCACAGCATTACTTAAATAGAATTTTATAGTGAAACACTTGATTTGTTTGAGTTACTAGTACCTTTAATGGAGAAAAGTCAAGAAGTTGCTCTGCAGTTTCATCAGCGTGATGACTGTGTCTCTTAGACTCAAGAGCAAGAGCCAGCCCAACTCCAGCCAGCCGTTCCTGTTCAAGCCCAGGCTACGCCCCAGCCAGAGCTGCAGCTCCTCACCTCCATGGTTGTGCAGCCCCAGGTCGTGACCTCGCTCCCAGCCCACGCTGCCTTGCAGCTTCAGGACCAGCCCACGCTTCTCCGGAAGGACAGCCTGGCTCCAGAGCCTGAAAGCCAGCTCGGCCTGGAAGAGGGGCGCAGTGTCACCCCGCTGAAACAGCTCTTCGTCCATCATCTGCAGCAGGTGCCTTTTCATGCTATGAAGAATATTTTGTGTTCTTTACACAGTGACTTTTTGCCTCTGCTCATTAGGCCGTAGGAAGCCCTGTGCAGTGAATAGAGGTTTGTGTAGAATCTGCAAAAGTGTGACCACCTTGTGACACTGACATGGCCATTGTTAGAAACAAAAAATAGGTAGCTCAAAACCTTTTTGGCTCTGTAGGATTACTGTATGCCATCTTCATTTGTTGATTGTCTTAATGTTGGAAAAAGAGCTTTGTGTTGATGCTCCCAGACCCAGAGAAAAGATAACTCTGTTGATCCTTTTGAGTTTTGACTCCTCTACCCTTTTTCTTTCATTAGTTTTACTAAGAAAATCAGTTTTGATTGATTTACCTAAGCAGCTGTTTTCATTAAATAGTAAAATACTTACTTTGATACTGTGGACTTGAAACAGGTGCCGTACATTAGACAAAGGGGAGCTTGAAAGAAGAGTTGCAGACAGGTTGGAATAAAACTCACATTTGGTGGGGAGTGCATAGTGTTGAATTGAAGATCAGATGAAGTCTAAGCACCGTCACTGTGTTACAGAAAGTATTTTAGGGGATACAAGAAGTCACAGCTCAGTTCAGTGTATTTTTGAAATACTTTTATTACAAAGACCCTCTGGAGAGGTTTTTGTACTTTTGACATAGTCATGGAAAGTCTCCCAAGTTACCATAAATGTTGTGTTAGGAATAAGATTTTATCATATATAAATATGTGTTTCAACCTTAACACAGAATGCAGATTCCAAAGATTATTCAGCTGTTCAGAAAATGTAATTCATCTACAGGTGCCCTAGCCAGCTCAGCTAAAATTCAGAGTTTCATCAGGTGAATGTAACTGAATTTTACAGTATGTTAAACTTTAATGGCAAATTCTCATCCATGATATGTATCTGGTTTTAGTTACTGTAGCTGTCCATGATGCATATGTACTATGTTTGTCTTTTCTTTTTTTCTTGTTCTACATTATGATCTTGATCTTTATCTAAGATCCTATCTTGTCTTTATCACAGCCTTGCCCTTTTCCCTCCTGAAAACGTCTCCTCTTCTTGTGGACACTGTAGCACTGCAATCATTACAATCAACCTTGCTAACAAGCCACAGGAAAGCTGAATGGGCTATCGATTGTGTTCTGATGTTTTTCTGCTGTAGTCCTAAGAACTCTATGCCTGTGGCGAAGCGATTCAGTTTGTCGTTCTGGTGATTTGTGATTGTTAAAGTTATTCCTGTGTCTTTCAACAGCAGGTTCTACAGTTGCCATCCCCACCTGCCACAAGCCACACCACAGGCTCTTCACCCGCTGCCCAGGCGGTCACCCTCCCATCCCCTCTGGGAAGTGCTGCTGCCCCCAATGTGCACTTAACAGGGCAGGCTGTCGCCCTCTCCTCTCCATTAACCAATGCGACTCAGGCGACTCCACCTACGAACCCGGGGAGTGGACATACGGGAACTCTATGCTCGCCTCTGATAGGGCAGACCTCTCAGAGTGCACCCCCAGTGAGCTTCTCCTCACCGCCCAGTGGACAGACAGTGACACTAGCAGTGTCAGGACCCGGCCAGGGACAGGTGGTGCCGCCCTTGTCTCCAGTGCCCAGACCCCTGAAATCAGCAACTCTTGGACGGGTCTTAACACCAGGGGGCGCTGTATCCTGTCCGTTACCCACTAGTCCACCCACGCAGCAGCCAGCATCCTTGTCCATACCAGGCAAGCCTACATCAGGGCTTCGGAGCCAGACGGACCCTGTGCCTCACCCCAGGATGATTAACAGTGAGTATCTACATGGCTGGGCAGTGGAGTCTGAAACCAAAGTCCATTAGGGACAGGAGTGTGAAATGATAGGAAAGACACTTGGCAGCGTAACGGACAAGAAGAAGTGTTAAGTCCATCTTCAAAAACTAGCATTTCCTTTGGCAGCGAATAGTCATGTTTAAATGTGACTTGACCTGACTGCTGAAGGTTGAGCTCTATGATCCGAAATCGCAATAGCAATTGAGCTGTGTGACATTGGTGAGGGATGCACCACTCCTCCGTTCAGAGTCAGACCTCCTGCGCATCGCCACAGAGTTGGCAGAAAGTTAAAAGGTCAATGGCTCAATGGGTGGGCATGTCTGAGGTGTCTTTTTCCCCGTGTGAGTACAATGTCCAAATCCAATTGTCTCCGTAAGTGGCAATTCTCACGATTCTCCATTTAAAGGAAAAGAATCTTGTATGTGAACGAACTTGTGTCCCCGTCAGACAAATTTAAAATACTGACCCAGCAAAAGCAAACCTTTTCTGTTCAATCCAAGCCAGTTATTTCATTCAGTAAGTACTCAGGCTATGGGAAGTGGCATCCCCAGAGTAGTATTCCAGTAAGAGTAAAAACCCCACATGCCCTCGCAGTGATAGATGAATTCGTTTTAATGGCAGCTGCTGCTGCTGCTGGTGCAACTCAGTGTTTTAAAAATGGTGTGGTAAGAATGTCATTCTGCCGCAATGCCGTGCCATAACTGGTATTGTAGGGTTTTCAGTGTGAGACTATCAGCATGGATAAAGACAAGTTAATTATGCCACCAGAATGCAGAAAAAAATAGACATTTCCTAAGAATCTAATGTTAGTGCTCAAAATGCTTGGATGGTGGTTGCTAGAACCCAGTCAGTTCTGATTCAGCAAGAGAAGACACTAATAGTAAAGTTCTGCTGTCAGGAGCCATGCAGAAAAAAGGGTCAATTGTATGTGGTACTGCTTGATGTGCTATCTCACAATGAATTTGCTTACAGGTAAAAAACTCCATGTGTCCGTGATGTGGTTGACCTATTTTTATCACTGTCTTCCGATTTGTTGATTCACAGTCAAATGTATCTATTTTGTTTAATGAGAGAATTCAAATGGCCTTTCTTGACAGTCTTGATTCCCACCTGATATTTAGTTGGGTGGTTATTTCAAGAGATGCAAACATCGAGCACTGCTGACATTGCTTTTTGCAGGGCATAACTGTAAATACCCAGGTTCTATTTTACAAAAAGATGTGTATAGATTATAATAATGCAACTTCAGGTGGGTAGCTGGGTCAGCATGCGTAGGCTGCAAAGGAACAAGTAAAAGGTTTATTCCATGCTGAGAAAAGAAGAAAGAGAACACAACGTTTCG